TCTCTTATAGATATACTTGTAAATGTATTTAACTGTCTACATAGTTGAAAAATTACAAATAAGAGAAAAAATGCAAAATTTTAATAACAAATTCAGTATTTGAAATTAGCAAGATTTAAATTAAACAAATATTCGAACAAAAGCACAAACTTCAATGTTTATATGACAATTATATTTTCAGCTAAGATAAGGTTGTACGGTATAATGTCTCTGTTATTGATAAGTTTATTACTAATGTTAAAACTACGACCATCATTCTTTCGTGCATAATGTAGATATCCATTACCATCCATTAAAGTATTGGCACAAAAGTCTTTAGGAAATTTCTTTTTATATATGCTGTTTTCTATATATGGTACTTGAGGATTACGTTTACCACATGGACCATAGATCATACAGTGAAATACAGTTTCAAATAGTATTGGATCTATTTCCTGGTCAGAGACCTCTGCACTGACAATATGATCAACATCATTAGGCTCTTAAATTGTATCATCACTATTAAGAAAAAGTAAAAAATGCATATGTGGAAAACCCGCTTTTGAAATTCGATCATATATATATATATATGCTGCTACTTTTCCAAAAACATTATTCATTTTAATATCATGAAGCAATGTATAGCATTTAAGCTCAAATACACATGCTACTAAATCAAATCTGACTGATGCAATTTGACCTGGAAGTAATTTATTAACAATTTCAGGCTATTTTAGATTTGCAGTCATTGTTTCTAAAATATCAAAATGATGGAAAATCAAGTTATAGCTATAGAATCCTGAAAAATTTTAAACATATACCACACAATTCTGATATATGTAGATAGTAGAATTATGCATTGCCCAAGATTATTCAAATTAACTTCTGTACTCGCAGTATAGCCTACTGTGTCTAAAAGTCCTTGATACATATCAGCTCTTAATATACCTTGGTGCATATGCAAGTATCTTAGTCAGGTTTGTTCAGTTGCTGCCTAGGCATCTACTAAAAACTCTTGAAACAATTTTCTACCTTGAAGAATAGAGAAAAATTCAGTGCACCATGAAAAAGACAAAATATATAAAAATCTATTTGGGTAAGTCTTGGGGCTTTACATTGATTAGCGCATATTGTTCTAAGTCATCAATTAAAGTTTGATGTAATTCTGCATGCCAGCCAAGTTTACTATATGAGAAAAAAAGCATATAATGAAGTATTAAATATTCTGGATGTCTTTCATGAATATGCTCAAGTGGGCCTCCATGCAAATGAAGAATTATATCACATATTGCTTAGGTGCAGATCCTTCACCAAATAAAATAATCACTATTTCGCTTGCAGTGGGAAGATTATAACAACAATGATCCGTTTCAGTGTTGAAATAAAGAAAACAGCTATGTCAGTTTCAGGAGTAGTCTCACTTTGGGTATGCGAAAGAATTTCGTAAGCTTGTTAATATTTAGAAACAAAGGTATGATGTTCTCGCAAAGTTTCTTGTAATTCTTACATTAATTGAGTATCTAAATTTCTGTTTTGGCCTATCCTGATTTGATGTGCAATATCTGGATCATAAATATAAAGTTGCATGTAACTTGTTTCAATGTTCTCTTCAGAAAGAAGTGACCCTGATCTGTGTCAAAGTTCACCATAAATATGGAAGCTTAATGGAGCACGATCACTAAAAACAGTTTGATCTATTTTAACTCCTAAAGAAGTAAAGGCATGTGCCGCATTGTATTGGTATATATTGCTATGAAATTCTTTACACTGATCATCATTGTTTTCAAAAAGATGTCGCAAATAAGATGGTGGATCAAGAAGAGAAAGAAGAATAACTTTTCTATGATTATAGCAAGTTCTAAACTTTGGTTTAATTTTTGATGAGGCCACAACATATTCATCCAACCAATGAAGTGTACCGCAATGAGAGCATTCTATATTCATACAGCTGAGATCATGATGAACATTATTTTGGTAAAATTCAGCAATTATTTCAGAAATTGGTATGTTATGTGCTCTTTTATTTCATTC